TGCTTATGTTGGCAAGCACATGTGGGCCTAACCGTACCGCCCCATTTCTGTGATGCCTGGTGTCATGAGACTGGATGTTGCCCCTTCTGTGGGTATTTGCCCCTCCTGCTAGGGGTAGAGATGTGGGAGTGTGTGTCTTTGTGTGTGTGTATGTGAACGAGTGTTGTGTTGTGTGTATGGGGGGACGGTAAGGAGTGTGTGTGTGTGAGTGTGTGAGGGGTAAGGAGAGGTGTGTGTGAGTGTGTGAGGGGGGTAAGGAGTGTGTATGTGTGTGAGAAGGGTAAGGAGAGGTGTGTGTGTGAGGGGTAAGGAGAGGTGTGTGTGTGAGTGTGTGTGAGGGGTAAGGAGATGTGTGTGAGTGAGGGATCAGGAGAGGTGTGTGTGAGGGTGTGAGGGGGGTAAGGAGTGTGTATGTGTGTGAGGGGTAAGGAGATGTATGTGAGTGAGGGATCAGGAGAGGTGTGTGTGAGTGTGTGTGAGGGGTAAGGAGAGGTGTGTGTGTGTGAGTGTGTGAGAGGGGTAAGGACATGTGTGTGAGTGTGTGAGGGGGTAAGGAGAGGTGTGCTGATTGGCATCCTGCTGCCCGCTGTTTGTGCCGTGGGTGCTTCATGTGGGATGGCAATAAGAGCCCTCAAGTGAGAGACAGGAGCTCTAGGCTGGAGTCCGACTCCGGCACCTACCCCACGTGGTCATGAGCACTCTCTGAGGCTTGATTTCCTCATCTGTAAAATGGGCATTAAGAGCTCTCCCACAGGGTTGTGAGGAAGTGACAAGATGGCCTATGTAAAAGTGCCTGGCTTCTATAAGGTGTCAACCCGGTGACACTTATTCCCTTCCTACCTGCTGGACTGACCAGGCACTGTTCTGAGCCCCACCCGTGGTGCCAGTTTTAGTGTTTCACCCCCATGCTCATCCACACACAATCACTTCACAGCTGAAGAAACAGGCCCACATAGGTTTTGTCACCAGGTCAAGGTCACATATGCGGTTGGCAGCAAAGCCAAATTCTGGACACTCCTTATCCCAATCCAAAGCCTGTGCTTTCTCTACTATACCTACTGCTTCCTCTGGAACTCTCCTTGGAAATCAGTGAAAACCTTCCAGAGTAGTAGTTGAGAAAAGCCAGAAACAGACAGGTTCCCCAAGTCACAGTTTGGCTGGTCATCTCACCAGCCAGAAGAAGAGGGTGCTCTCATCAGCTGCAGTAGCAACAGAAGCAAGTCCCAGGGGCTGGAGGAGGCCCGGGGTGCAAGGAGAAAGTGCAGACAGGGGAGGATGGGGAGGAAGGGAGGGTCAGAGAAAGGAGGGCACCTACTGCCAGGGGCAGCCTTGGAAAGGAGGGGATGACACACAACTGGTGATTTAGGAGTGAGCCGTCGCTCAGTGAACCGGCCTCGGTCCTATCCTTAGGAGACCACATGGAGTGAAAGGAGCTGGGGCCGTGGAATCGGAGAGACCTGGGGTCAAACACTGCATCTGCCACTCACAAACTGTGTGACTTAGAGAAGAGGATTTAACCTGTCTGAATCTCTATTTATTTACTGGAAAATTAAGCATAATCAATTTCCCTCATCTCTCTCTCTCTCTCTGAGTTGTTGCGAGGATTAAATGGTAAATGAGATCATGTGTGCAACACATCCAGCATGGTACGCACACAGAGGGAGCCCCCATATTGCTACTTCCCTCCCCTCTACCCGGTTACCTCATCCAACTGCTCTGAGGCTAAATTAGATAGGGCGCTTGCTAAGCAGGACTTACTCAATACATATTGGTTTCCCTGCCCTCTCTCTTAAAAAAACGGGCTCCCAAACTGGTGAAGCTTCCTCCTGAGAGAGTGAGAGTGGAAGTGGGCGAGGAATTGCCTTGTTTCACTCAGCCACTGTTTCCCGATTCTCTTCTGCTATTGCTGGACTCTCCCAGGCTTTACCCGAGTTCTGGAGTACAAACTTTGTAGAAAATAGATCCTTTGATGGTTTTGTCAAAATATCTTGGGAGCCAGAGGAATGAGGGCCGAGTTAGTCATCCTTCGTGAAACTACAATCAGGAGGCGATGTTTGTCTTGCTCAGCCTGGCCCTGCACTAAAATATATAGTACAACTAGATGTCCTTGAAAAATATGGAGTGTGGGTTCTCTGTAACCAGAGCTGGGCAAGTCTGTTCTTTTACGAATCTGCAAGTATTCATCTAATGCTGGAGGTGGCCAGGGAAACAGGCTTTGAGGCCCACGTCAGAGATGATCATGGCCATGGTGGGTGGAGAAGTCTGTAGTTATGGGGCCTTGATTAAAGGCTTCATGCCAGCACCATCAAAAGAACTTTCTGTGATGAGGGAAATGATCTATTTCTGTGTTCTCCAATATGGCAGCCACGTATTTGAGCACTTGAAAAGTGGCTAGTGTGACTGAAGAATCAAATTTTTAAATTTTATTTAAGTAATTTAAATAGCCACATATGGTTAGTGGCTACCATATTGGGTGACGTAGCATTGTACAGATTGCAACATCCCACGAGCAGCCGCTTCCAAACAGGCAGAGTCTCACCTGGGTGTAATTTCCAGCCATACCCAGGGCAGCTTCATGCGACCACAGATGCTACTCCCCACCAGTGGGTGAAATTAGGCTGAGCAGGTTAGGCCTTTGCTCACCGGAAGGACTGAGGCAGAACTGGGGAGGATTCGGAGGGCCCAGGGAATGGGAGGGTGCAGTGCAGGCCGCTGCTCATCCCTGGAACCTGTCAGGGGCTGGAGGTTTGGGTTCTGACGGTTTTCAGGCAGTCCTGCCTCATAGCATCCATATCACTGGCTGCGTAGGTCCCATCCTCATCTGATGTCCCTGGAGCAAGAGGCGTAGTTGATAACAGAGACCAAAGTGTTGCCTCTAAGGGACTCACTGCCTATCTTCCTGGGACAGCACTGAGCACGCACTGCCTGGGAAGGGGTTGTCTTCATTGAGTCTCCTGAAATAGGCACTCTGCCTACTCTGGCTCAATTTATGCTTGAAGAAGAAATGAAAGGATGAGCGCATTGGTTGTGGCAGCTGCTGGGTGAGATAATGCTGCTCTTTGGTCTCCTTCACAGGAAAGTGGTCCCTGTGAGCTGACACCAGCAGCGTATGGTGGTCGGGCACCTGGGGTCCTTGGCAAAAGGAGGAAGCTCAGCCTGGCTCGTGCCCACTGCTGTTCCTTCTCTTGATGCTCGCCTCCCTCCCCCGTCTCCAAGCCCCCAGCAGATGTCCTCTGGATGGACCATGCCCCTCACTTCAGAGGCACAGCCCAGCCCTGGAAGGTGAAAAATGACTGCCTTTCTTCCCAGCTGATCTCTAGGAGAAAGCAAAACCCTTCCCCACCCCTCACTGCCCTCCCTTACCCCACAAACAGACCAGGAGCAGTTACTGAGGTTAAAAATCACTCAAGTAGTTATTTGGAGGTCTAGGTCTAAATGCTGGCTCTGCCAAGAATTTGTTTTGTGTCCCAGAGCAAATGATTTCCTCCACCTGGGCCTCGGTTTCCCTGTCTGGGAACTGGTCTGGTTGAACAGTCTCTCAAAACGCTAACATTCAAGGATTAATGTAGATCCAGTGAAATGCGATTATCTGAGAGCCTTAATCACTGCGGGCGGCTTTGCCATTTGAAAGAGGAGCTGGTTAACCCAAATAAGTGTCTAATTGGTAGCCTGCGGTGGGGGAGCTCCCTTAAGCAGGAGACCTTCCAAATTCCCTCACCTGCTCCCAGAAGCTCTGGCTCCTCCGCCCCTAAGGCACAGACAGTGGAGGGGACCCTCTGTCCTCCCAGGTGGGAGAGATCCCGCCCTCACTCCAAGTGCTCTGGAAGTTGCCAGCCGCCCACAACGGATTTCTGTCATTCCTGGGCCTCAAGGAAGGGAAATCTGCCTGGAGAGCAAAAGTCCAGATCAACAGAGGAATCCTGTGCCCAAAAAATAAGTCTCCTGGGAGCTTGACCTTGTGAGAGTGATTAGAAAAGGAACACCAACTGGGAGTTGGGGGGGCCTGGTTTTTAGGCCTCCTTCCAGGCTGTGTGGCCGAGCGCAGCTCACTCCACCCAAGTTTTGCTTTCCTCCTCTTTAAAATGGGCTCAGAACAGCCCTGCTGACCTCGTTTGGCCTCTGTGGGAACAACAAAGAGTCCACGGCTGCATCCGCTGTTTTGTATACAGTGCTGTGCACATGGGGACAGCATGTTCACCTTCTGCAGCTGTAGTTAACTGCACGGTGATAATCAAACAGCACAGCAGCGGCCCCTCCCAGCGCCTGAGCATGTGCTGTGAAACAGGAAGATGCTAAATCACTCACACGCTGGTTTCAGGATTAGGCAGAAATGTCAATGGCAACAGATGTCGGCTTGTTCCCTCCAGGAGGATTTAGGCTTCAGTGGAGTGTTTCTCTGCTGGCGTCAGCCCAAGACCTAGCCACAGCCCTTTCTCTGACCTGCGGTTCAACTCTTCCCTGAGGTTAAGGATATGACTGGGACACGTTGGAAGCTGAACTACCTCTCGAGAGGTCCTCAACTGGACAATGATATCCTGTAAGATCAGCTGATTCAAACTTTAGGGGAAATGAGCACTGCAAATGTAACCTGAAGCCCAGTTTTTTCATGGCCTTGAGCAGAGATGAACACACTGGGTTCTAGTCTGGGTTTGGAGATGCCTCCATGTCCCCGTAGGATGAGACCTGGGTGGTCGATGTAACTGCTCAGGGCCTTCCGGATCTAACATTCTAAGGGACCACGAAAATGGACAAAGAGAGGCCAACCCGAGGATTGTCCCAGAAAGTATCAAGTTTTCTTCTAGCACTGGGCAGCAAGGTGGCCACATTCTTGGGAAAAGAGAGAGACTGTGTCAACATGACTGTGGACTCTGTGCAGTTTCAGAAACACTAAAATAGCAGAGGCTGAAGTCACTCCAGGAAGAGACTTCAGGGAACTTGTGCATCTTCAGACCAGTGGCTGCACCCTGCCCTTCTGAAGGCTCTGGGCCACCCACACTCACCTTTGAAGGGGGACTGGGCTCGCGTCATAAGGAAGAGCTGCTTGCTCTTCTTGCCTCTGGGCTCCTGGCGGACGTGGTAGCCCAGCGTGTTGCAGCGGCCCTTCTTGCAGCTCAGACACAGGCCCCGGCTGAAGCTGTCCATGTCGCTGCACAGGTAGGCCATGCTCTGCATGCTGGGGTGCAGCAAGGAGTCGATGAAGAGGTACACCGACCGCACGTGGGCGCACTTTATGGTCCGGGTGATGGCTGGAACGCAGGGCAAGAAGGACGTTAAGGCCCCTTAATCCAAAGTACCCTCTACTCAAAGGACCGTCTTGTTTCTCACTACACAGCAGCAGCACATTAGGAAGGAGGGGCAGGTTGCTGAGGGCGACCACTGACAACAGTGGATGTAACCACTGACGGAAAACTGCGGGAAGAGTAGACCTGCTCAGTCATGTAGGGAAGAGGCATAATGCCAGGATCCACGGGTCTCCTCAGGGCACCCCCCATTACAGTGCCTTACGTAGGTAGGAGTTTTAACAGGAACCCCAAGTCACTAAGAAAGTACCAAATTATTTCAGAAAGCAAGATAGTGTAATTCATTTTAGAAATATTTGTGTCTCAAATGGTTACAAATACACATGTGCTGATGCTTTGCGGATGAGTGAGCTGGAACAGGCTCGTGTGGAATGCCTTAGTAAAGCTGGGGAAACAAGGGCCAAGGCACTCTTGGGGCTTGGCTAACAGTCTGGTGAAAGCTGAGGCCTCTCCCACCCTGTCCACCTTCTGTCCCAAAGCAGCCATTGCATTTTCTGGGTAACTGGCCTTGGGTAAGCCAGGCTGGGGATTGGCTTCTGGATGGACACGTCCCAATGACCAGGTCTGAATGGGCCTACCCCAAAACAGCAAGCTTAGGAAGTTGATCTACCATGGATTTTTGACCATTTTTTTTTTTTTAACTCTCCAAATATTAACCTAATCTTGAGTAAATTATTCTTAAGGAATGTTGAAGAACCACCACAAAATATGTAAAGTACCTAATGTGGAGGTAGAGCACAGGTAACTTTGCCAAAAGCTATTTCCTCAAGTGTCGGAAGGCTAGATGCCAAGATTAGACATCCCAGTTCTTTTTTTTTTTTTTTTGTGCTTGAGGAAGATTTGCCCTGAGCTACCATCTGTGCCAGTCTTCCTCTATTTTGTATGTGGGTTGCTGCCACAACATGGCTGACAAGTGGTGTAGGTCCGTGCCCGGGATCTGAACCCATGAACCCAGGCTGCTGAAGCAGAGCATGCCAAACTTAACCACTACACCACGGGGTCAGCCCCCACCCCAGTTCTTGGTCTAGTGGCTGTGTTTATTGAGCCCTCCTGTGAGGGAGATACTACGTTGAGGGCCTCCACACATCTACTCCCTCAATCTTCACCATAGCTCCTTGAGGCAGCTGCTGTAAATGAGAAAACTGGGCTTCAAAGACATTCACTACCCCACTCACACTCACCTAGCTGGAGGTGGTGAGGAGGGTAGAGCAGTTATCAAGTTGCCTTCCGAAGTGGTTGGGAGAATGACCCCAGAATGGGATCACTTTTAAACTTAAGGGTGAAGAAAACTGAGAAAACCCACACCAAAGTTGGGCAAACTAAATAAATATATTGGTTCTATGACTTTGAAGTTTAGTACCAAAGAGCCAGTAGGACTAGTTGGTCAGAGATGCATTTATCAGGCACCTCGTTACTGAACACCATCCTGGAGGTCTGTATTGAGCTCTGGGAGGGTATAGGTCTGGGAGGAGGGCTGGATGGTCAGCAGGGAACTGCTGGTGCCTGGAGTGGTGAAGGTTCGAGGGAGCTGTAAGGAACGATAAGGTGAAGTTCCCAGAAGGCTCTGTCAGGCATGGGTGGGTGGAAAGCTGGGAGTCCAGCCAAAATGAGATACTGTCGAGTCTGAAGGTCATTCTGATACAGGAGAGGTGAAGGTGCTGATGTAATCACAAGAGAGTATTCTCAGTTCGTTTTGGATGATTGGGGTGAGAAGGTGGTGTGCGTGGGTGGGAATCTCCAGTTGGCTTAGAGTAAGTTGGCATGTTTTAATCAGGATGATATTTTATAATAATGACAAATTTGGAATGTCTATGGAATGTATGGTTTTTGCTGACGTTTTTGTTCTTTAATCCTGTGCATATAATCAAAGTGCATGTTAATGCTTTGGTTTTAGGATTTGAGAGAGAAGTGGAATCACAACCCAGAGAATGCCACATTCAGTTTCTGCCCTGAGATAAAGGAAGTCCCAAGGACATATTTAGCGCTGAACTTCGAATTAGAAGAATTTCAATAATGTCCTGTAGGATCAGCTGATTACCTCACAGGGGTGGAATTGTTATTCCCACTCTTGTGAGACCAAGGATCAAGAAGCCATGATCTATTAAGCGGATCCTCATGTGGCCCAGACTAGAGGAAGCCCCCTCAATAAGGAAGCTTCCAGAGAAGGAGGAATAACCACAGGCATCAGGACTTAACTTTCAGAAGGGCTAATACCCAGGAGAGACTTTGCTTCAGGACACTCGGTGGAGGCAAGAAGTGGGGATTCCTGGTGGTGCCCCTCAGCTTGTCCTCAGAGCTTGGTGCTCCAATGACCACTGCCTATTAAGAGGAGGGGCCTGTGGGGGAACACCAGCCCTTCCCCACTCCCATAAGCCCTCCCTCTGAGTGAACTTGGTGACCATACACCCTGGGCCCCCACCCTTGCCAAACTCTTCCCAGAATCCCGCAGAGTTGGTAGGTTCCACTGGATCCAGAGGCTCCATGCAAGTGTGGGGAGTGTAACCTCTTGGCCATTCGTCTTGCTCACCATTTAAGCCGTGCTTGGCAATATCTTTGTAGAACTCCAGGAAGTGGCAGCCAGGTTGGAAGGTGCCCCCATTGGGGTAGAAGTCATAGTGTGCTATGGGCTGTTTGATGCCCACACTCAGGCCCATGTGCTCCTGGGTAAAGGTGTGAATGGCGTCCACGAAATTGGCGTCATCTGGCGAAAGACGGTCACTGGGGGAAGTGCCCTCGAACAAGGGACCTGCGGCATCCAGTGCTACCAGGGAAGCAAGGACAAGCATTAGGTGGGAGCAAGCTGAAGGGGGAGAATGCGCTTTCCAGCTTTGCAATGTTATTACACATTCATGAGCTAGCAGGAAGAAGAAAATCCTAGGGCATAATCTTTCTCTAGAAAATCTTGCTATAACCTTTTCGGAGTAAAACCATAGTAATTCATGGTGCTGAAAATTAGACACAGGCTGGGAATTATCTATGGGGAAAAGAGGCTTGCAGGAACTATCCAGTGGTAGAAACAAGGTTATGAGGAAATGCTTGATTTATTCAAGCAAATCAATTTTAAGTACCTCTCAAGCTACTTTCAAGAGCATCTGTTTGCATACAAAAAACCACTGTGCTTATTGTAAGTAGTTCTAACCTAGCCATCAAAGAAAGAATTTATTTGCCTGCCTGTTGTCAATAATTTCCCTAAACAAGCTGCCTTTTCTCCTAGACTAATGTCATTTTATTGGAATGTCCAGAACAGCCTTGGGACATCACTGTTCCTGGGTGAAAATGTTCTGAGCAAATAGCTCAAAGCTCTGGTCCTCAATTGACAGATGTGTTTGCATGACACAGGTGGCCACTCCTGGCTGACTGTAGTTGGGGAATATTGATGCACTCAGGGCTTTTTTCCTCTGACTTTCTTCCTTTACCTTCTCTGGAGGACCTTTGATATCCACATCAGCCCTGGCTTCCAACCCTGTTGGGGTGAAGGAATTGACAGGGACCCTGAGAGCGTCTGTTCTCCAGCCCTCACCTCACCTCATAGGTACAAATGAGAGATGTCTTGGTGTGACTTACATTCCTTTCCTCATCAGGCTGACTACAAGACGACAACAGAGTAATTTGCAGTCCCACTGCCTCACACGTGTGTGGGCCTGGCTAATAATGTCTGATGTGGCCCATGACACCAGCCAGAGTGGAGAGGGTCCTGGGCCTGAGGCTGCCTCTCTGTGATTCTGACTCAGCCTTCCAGGCCTGGTTCCTCGGTGAGGGGCCTCATTGGCCTTCTGTGGAAGGTTTGCTCACCCCCAAGCTATTGAGGGTAAAATCACAGGGGTAGAGGGACAAATGCTGGTGTGTGCACCAGGCCTCCCCAGTCACCAGCAAGATAAAAAAAAATAAGGACGAGGAAATGAGTTCTCACAGCGACCAATTTATTTCGTTTAAATGTCTGCCATTATCCCTATCTTTTTTTCACGTTAAAATAAATCTCTTCTTTTATGAAGTAATGGTAATAGTAGATGGTAGATACCAAAAATGTTCTTACTTGATAAAATAAAAGGTCACAACAATGTTATTCAACTTAAATTTCCTTTGAATTGTTTTAGCCTGTGAAATATTGTTTTAGCCTGTGAAATATTGTTTTAGCCTGCTGGGTCTTGCAGGATAAGTAGGAGTTTGGTAGGTAGACTAGGGCTGAGTGGGTGAGTGGTGGTAAGATATTCCAGGCAAAGGGAACACTACATGCAAAGGCCCAGAAGCACAAGAGGCCATGGCGTGTTTGTAAAGTGGAGAAAAATCTAGTGTCAGCCTAGAGCTACAGGAAGGGAGGAGCGGGAGGAGAGGTGAGAGAGCTCTGGGGACACTACTCTGAGAAGGGCTTGCCTGCGCCTTCTGAGTTTTATCCTCTGGGCATCAGTGGGCCTTGGGGCCTTGGCTTGGGAGCAGCCTGATCAGGTGTGTTCCTCCAAACATAATTCCAGGGCCGCAAGGGGGGCAAAGCTGGTGTCAAGGATGTCTGGGAGGAAAGGCCTTCTTGCCTAGCCCCAGCTCTCTCTGGGTACCTAGGGCCATTTCCAAGTCGGTGTAGAGCCCTCTGCCTCAATCCACATGGGCTCCAGAGTAAGACCCATGTGTTTCACAAATGTAGAAACTGAGGCACAAACGTGCCTGATGTTACAGCAAATTTAGGGCTGTGATTCTTTAACTCGCTCATGTTGGGTTTTTTAAACTATAGGTTGAAAAGTAAACTCTTTCCTGCTACAAAAGCGTATGGAAAGACTACTTTTTGGGTTCTATCTGGCATGACTACAAGAGGCATTTGTTCGAGGAAAGGCAATAGGAATCGAGGCTGTGATCCGCTCTGAATTCTCTCGGAATAGCAGTCTGTGACGGTGGCCGTGTTTGAAATAGTGCTACAAGTCCTCCTGTGAACACCAGCACGGCGCGAAGGAAGCTGGGGGCGTGTTAACTACGATGGGAAAGCAGGTCCTGGCCCTGCGCCCCGTGCAGCTGTGGAGATTACCGTTGTTAGTTACCGGGCATGGTTACCTGTAATTCTCCCAATCTTGTGCTTTCCGCGCATGTAACTGCCAGCGAATCCCGAGACGTGTGCACCCAGGCTGTACCCAATTAGATGAACATTGCTCGGAGAGAACTGAGCAGATTCCTGGAAGACAGCAGCAAGATGGTTACAGGAGGAGAAGAGCTGCCCGGCTAGAAGACTTTTGTGGGTCCAGCTTGTTCTGGGCTCCCACCCTGTTCTTTGTGCCCAAGTGCAAATGAGGTGCTTAATTCATACTCCAGACCCAGAATGGTTTCTCACCTTGCTGATTCTGTCCTTGCAGAGAGGCGGACCCTCCTTTCAGGCTCAGCTACCTGGGACCCTGCCTGTCTTCACCTGACCATGAATGCCCCATGGAAGTGGTTCTGTTCATTCATGTGGGGTCTGATGGTTTACAGGGTGTGTTTAGACGCCTTAGTACACCCACACGGGTGAGCATAAGAGGAATAGTGGATGGGGTCAGGAGAGAAGATGGTTGTATAAAATAGGGGTTCAAGCGAGGCCTCTGAGAGAGCCTTGGGGTCTGGTCTCCGTCTCTGCCTTCCCATCCCATGAGCTCAACAGAAGTGGTTTTCCTGTCTCTGTTGCTGTTGGAGACCAGCTTAATTCATGCAGTTTTAGGGGAAGAGAGGTTGGGGAACGTCCTACCTCCAGCCACTGGAGAAGATCTGCGACCTCCTGGCCCACGAGGCGGCTATTGCGGACAGCGACGCTGTACTGGTGGTAGGCCAGGATGACCCAGTCTGCCAGCACCACGTTCACTGGCTGGACCAGAGGAGACTTCAGCGTGGCCACCAGCTGCCAGATCCAGCTTTCCAGCAAGCCGTCGAACTGCGGGTGGGCCCACAGGGTAGTCAGCTTCCCCGGGATGGGATGGAGGGGGCTCTGCACTGGTTTCTTCTTTCTCTCTATTCACCCCTTTTTCTTCTCCAACTCTTGGCTGCTGCTGGGTCTTTCTCTCCAAGAGAAAGGGCTTAACAGGGGTTTTTCAACCTTGGCACTATAGACATTTTGGGCCATATACTTGTTCGTTGTGGGGGCTGTCTTGTGCATTGTAGGATGTTTAGCAGCATCTCTGGCCTCTACCCACTAGATGCCAGCAGCCACTGCCCCCCCGCACAAGTTGTGAAACCAAAAATGTATCCAGACTTTGCCAAATGTCCCCTGGGGGCTACTACCCCCAGCCCCCAACTTAGAACCATCACCTTAACATTTCCCTATTTTAGGATTTTCTAATTCTTAGAGCAATCGAAAAGGCTGTGTAAGCCAGGCACTGAAAGCTGATCATCCTTTGAGGATCAGCTCAGCACCACCTCCTCGGGAAAGCTGCTGTGCCACCCTCTGAATGCCCCTGTGTTTGCTCTACTCTCATCCCCTGCATTCTGCCGGCTTTAGAGGGACGAGCACCATGAGCTGGAACACAGGAGGAGCTCAAGAAGTGTTTATGGAGAATCGTTCCGTGTATGCGCCTTATTTGAGAACCAATTTGCAGGGCACTCCTGAAGGGTTCACAGAGCAAAGACATTTCTGCTGTGTTTTGAAGGATTAATAGGAGTTCGCTTAGAAGAATAATGGTGGGCAGGTGAATGTGGTGGTGGTGGGGGGTGTCTAGGGCGTTGCAGGCAGAAGGAAGAGCAAGTGCAGAGGCGCAGAATCAAGAAAGGGCAGTGTGGCCTGTCTGCGGAGAGGAGAAACGTCCGGAGTGGTTGAAGGCTAGGCCACGGCCGTGAAGCTGGAGGGCGACACTGATGGTTTCATGTCATCCTGGGGTAAGATGCAGTCATTTGATAAACGTTTACCCAGTGCCTTCCGTGTTCAAATCCAGACTCTCCAGTTACATGCTGAGTGACCTTGGGCAAGTTATTTAACTTTTCTGTGCCCAGTCTCCTCGTCTGGAAAGTGAGGATAATGCTAGTGCCCTCCTTCCAGGATGGCTGTGGAGATGAACGCGGGAAATAGATGTAAAGCACTTAGCACAGTGCTTGGGGCACAGTAAGGACTCGGTCACTGTTGGTTATCGCAGCTGTTGTTGTTATCATTATTATTACTAGTAATAGTAGACGTGTTCCAGTCTGGACAGGATTTTGAGAATGAAGAGCTCATTCTGGTAAAAGGACCCTGCTCCCTTCACGCTGCATTTGTAAATGAGATATTTATTTGATCATTAATTCAGTTAACAAATATTTTTGGAGAACCTAGTATGTATAATGGATACTGTCCCACAGGAGAAGAGAGGCAAGGACACTCTAGGCAGGAGGCACAGCCTGAGCCAAGGCCAAGAGGAGAGAACTCACATGGTACATGGAGCAAGCTACAAGCAGGGGAGAGGGGGAGGTGGGGAAAGATGAGGATGGGGGGGGCGGCGGGGTTGGGGGGCAGGGAGAGTGCCGGGGAGGCAGGGGGAGTGGGAGGAAGGAGGGAGAGTGGGGGCATGCAGGCGAGTGAGGGAGAGGCAGGGGGAGAGTGGGGAGACAGGACTGCCCCGCTGTGCTGCCACACTTTCTCACTTCCCTCAGTTCCAGTCCTGACCTGGAGTCAGGTTCCAAGTCCACGGCTCCCCCTCCTCCGGAGCTCTCCTCTGGATGCATCCCCTCCTTCCCACCTTCTTCTCTCATTTTTCTTGTAAAGGGACCATCCCTTTGGCTAAAGCAGCTGAAGAAATGGAAGGCTCTTCCCTCACAGTGACTGGCCTCCGTCTAATCCATCCACCCGCCGGGCCCCACGGGAGAGCTTTCCATGTCTGATCTTTGGTTCCCTTTAAAGCAGATTTCATCTTCCCAGCATTCTGCCCTCTGCCCCCTAGTCCGTTTTTCTTAAAGAGACATGGACTGAGTTCCTACCTGGCTAGAGAGAAGCGGCGAGGAGACTGCAGTGTGAAGCCTGCTGTGGAAGGGCTCCAGTCAACCCATCCTTGACAAAAGCTCAATCAAGTGGAGTCTTTGCAAGTGTGGGCTTTGGACTGTGAGGGTTCTGGTTTTGGAAGTCTGTCCACTGAGGGCTGTGTGACTGTGGTAGCTGCTTGACCTCTCTGAGCTGCAGTTTCCTCGTCTGAGAGAGAAGGCTAACTCAAGCACCCTCATTGGGAGGTGTGAGGATTGAACGGGCTGCCGTGTAATGTAAAGGGCCCCGATCTGTGTTAGGGCCCTTGTCTAAGGCAGGAAGACCCCCACCACCTTCACTGCCAACCCTGTGGGGTGGTGGGACCCCTTTAAATCCTAGGGGGATGCTGCTGGCAGCCTGCAGGAGCCTCTGTGCTTTTCTGGGATGACATCAGCAGGCACCCCACCTCATGGCACCGTGTGGCTCCCCACTGCCCCACGCGGCCAGGCCTGGGGTCTGTTCGTGAGGAGGCTCTCATTGATTACATGTTGAAGGAGTGGGGGTGGGTGGGCCCATTTTTCCCTCTAGGGCAGGATCGAGGGGAATTTCAAGACGGCAGGGAAAGGTTTCCAAGTCATGAAATAGACCCCAAATCTCTGGAGGTCTCAAATCGTGAACTAAGCTTTAAATGGACTGAAAACCAGGGAGGAGAATTTCCTCTTGGAGACAAGTCCTTGCTTAGTTTGGTTTTAGTTATTGCCAGCAATATTCTTTCTCCCTTTCTTCCATAATAGTAGAATTTTTAGTATGACCGAAAGGTTACACTTTCTCTAAGAGGCTACATGTCTCAGCAACTTTTCCATCTAGGTATGGCCAATGGATATAACTAGAAGCATCTCACAGATGCTTCTGAGAGGCTAACCTAAAAAAACACTCTTTTATACCAAAAGCCATTGAACTGTACACTTTAAATGGATGAATTGTATGATATGTGAGTTCTATCTCAATTAAGCTGTTTTAAAAAGAACTCTACTCTCTGACCCCTTTGTGTACATCTGTTACTACATTGTGCCATCTGGAATAAAGATGTGATGGCTAGTGCTCTAGCTGCCATCTTAGACTATGAGGACGAGGGCCACACTCAAAGTGTGGCAGAGTAGTGAGCTGGAAATGAGCTGGGTCCTTGAGGACTTCATTGACCAAAGCCATTTATCCAGATTTGGATTATATATCTCTGAACTATTGTGTGAAATGGAAGCAAACTTCTGTTTTATTTCAACCACTGCCAATTTGGGTTTCTGTGATTTGCTGCTGAATTTAACCCTTACGGATACAACATTTCATTGGGACACTATGTTTTCTGGCTTCCTACCCCCTCTTATGAAACATGCAGATTCACCTGCATGGATTGCAATCTCTGTGGGCCCTCATGTGCTGTGTGACCTCTTTGAGCCACATTTTATTATCTGAAACATGGGGATAGTTCTCCTTTCTCTGCCCTGCTTACTCATGGAATTGAGATAATCAATGAGATAATGTGTGGAGAAGCATTTGGAAAATTAGAATGTGCTTTACAAATATTATGCATGAAGTTGTTATTGGTGGCTCCCTATCTTTTTATTAAAATTGAATACACGAGGGAGAAAAAAAGAAAATGTAAATGCAGAGCGAAAAAGCCATGTCAGCATTTCCTACCGACCACCCGTGGATTATCACCACCAGAGGCAGAGAGGAATTGAAGCCGCACTGCTGTAACGTGTCTGAGTGATTGAGCCGAATCCGACAGCCCTTATCCATCTGGTTTTCAAAGAGCAGGAATTTGGTCGCTGTCTCCCGCAACGTTTCCTTTGTTTCAACAGCTTGAAATCTTCCAAATGGCTCTGGAATATAAGATTGGGGACAGTGCTTAAGTTGGCATCTGTTCTACCTCTGCCAGCTCTGGGACAGCCCGAAAGTCTCTAAGAGCACCAGCCGACAGGGTTACTGTGAGGTGCTGGAGGTAGACATGAGCCGCAGCTTTGGGGAACCCAAAAGAGCATGTCCAGCAGAATGGCCATTTCTCTCCTGGGAGCTGATGGGGGGTGACCTCAGAGGACCCAACACAGGAGTGGAGGGGGCCAGGTCCTCCAGCCTGCCATCCCAGTGACTACAGGGTCAGCCAGTCAGACCCTGGAGTAGCTCTAGGACAGCAGGAAGATGGGAGAGGCCATTGGGACTGAGGCTCAGAGGGGATAAGTATTTCACCCCAAATCACACTGCCAATAAGTGGTAGAGTCAGAATTCGAACACAGGTCTCTTTGATTCCAATTCTCTACATCCCTATGCTACGGAGACAGTGAATAGGGTATCTTAGTTGGATGACCCTGTGCATTAGCTCATGTAGGTCAACCTGTTCTCACTTGCAGACACATGATATCATGGAGCCTTGCATGGACCAGGTAGGCTTGGGGTGGGAGGTTCTCAAACGGACTGGCAGATTCCACATGATGGGGGGAGTGGCATTCCAGGAGGACTTTTCAGGGAAAGTGATGCTTGTCCTTGCCTTGAAGGATGAACAAGGGCTTGTGTGTATGTGTATGTGTGGGTGGTGGGAGGGAGCAGGGCTTTCTGAGCCGGGGAAACCGCGTCGTAAGGGCTCAGAGGCATGGGACCTTCTGGGCATAAGGAGGCCCGAGACAAGGCCGGGCAGCCAGAGCATGGCAGGCCCTGGGATGCTGAGGAGTCTGGACTTTATGCTCTAGATGATAGGCTGTTGCCAAGGAGTTTTTCAGCAGAAAAGGATAAAGGAATATCCATTCAGAATCTTCGAAGATGTGGGAGAGTGGGGTAGGGAGAGAAAGACTTTTTAAGATTTCACCTTCAGTTGTTGTCCCGAAAGGTCTTCTAGCCTCCCTTTTGGGGGAGCCTCACCCTGACCCTGAGCCACTTTGGAATGGGGGTGGGCATTCACCCAACTCTTCAAGGCAGCCCAACAGCTGTCAAGGCCATGGTGTTGGCCAAAGACGGACACCGCCACTCAGGGGCTGGGGGAAGCCTGAGAAGGCGCCAGATTCTCAGGGTTGTGGCGTCCCAAGATGAGTGACATCTTTTCTGCCAAGATTGGGGGTCAGGGGGGAAGACGGTCTCACCCTCCCTTCCAGCCGAGGGTGGGCTCTCCTGTGGTTGAGGGGCAGACACAAGGCCGTACGAGCATTTCTGGTCAGTGAACTCCATTCAGCCCAGTTACCAAGGACCCCAATCATTCTTTCTGAGCATAAAGTTACTCAGGCTTCTCAAATAATAAGTCTTGGGCTTTTGGTTTCAGGGGACAGCAGAACAGAGAGATGATGAACCTACAAAGTGCAAGGGGAGGTATTAATGAAAGCAATTTTCCTACCCAAAGGTTATTGATTCTAAAGCTTATTAACTCCCAGCAAAGGGCAATGATTTTTCACTATGACGACAGAATAAAACGCATCATATTTTATTAAAAGGAGATGTGAGGGAGAATCTGAATAACTTCTCTGAGATAATGAAGACTTTCTGCTGCTCATTTGGCTTTCCCAAGCTTAGAGGCTGCCTGAGCCTGTCCTCGTCCCTGCGAGCGTGCTCCCAGCTCAGGCTCCCCATTTCACTGGGTGCACTGCCCTCCTGGCCTTCTAAGTCAGAAGCTTGGGTGTCACCTTGCACCCCTACCCCAGCCTTCCAATCAGTCCAAAGCTTGGGATCCCAAATATCCCTCGAAGCCAGTGCCCTAGTTCAGACGCTCGCTTTTTCTTGCTTGGTTTATTGCAACGGTCTCCTAACAGGTCTCTCTGTTTAGTCTTGCCATGCTCCCTCACACTGCAGCTCAAAGAATCTTTCTAGAACAGGAATGACTATTATACCCATTAGTGACTTTTTAAGCTTCTTGGTATTGCAGCCAAGGCCACCCCGTGAAAGATAATCCCTCATTTCCCCAAGTCCTCCCCTCTCTTGATCCTCCCGCTACCCCAGACTGCCAATAGTTCCCCCAGATGCTGTCGCACACTCCTGCACCTTTGCATGCTCGCTTCCCCCTCTGTCTCTGCTGCTCCCTGGTGAACTCTGGACCTTCCCTTAAAATGGAACCCAGATGTCACACCCTCCAGGGAGCCTTCTCATCTAGCCAGAGGGAATGACTTCTTCTTGCTGCCAGCACTCTATTGGGTCCTGATCCTAACGCACTCATCACGTGGCGTGGTGACTTATTTGTGTAGGTGTGTGGTGTTTCCTCCACCAGTCTGTGAACTCGCGGATGGTGGTGCTGGTAGGTGCCTGACCAATGCTTGGTGAGCGATGTGGTATTCTGTGGGACCCAGGGCTCAGATCAAAGTCTCACCTTTGATCTGTCAGTCATTTATGCATTGGAGCTAGATGTAACTCACTTCCTTTTATTCAGTGACCGAATAGCTGCAGCTTCCTTCATTTCAGGATAGCTGACTCGAATGCTAAGACGACTGTATGAAAATAAAATGGGGATAGAAATAGTACCTGTCTCATGGAGCTGTTACAGGATTAAATAAGAGCTCAGAACAATGCCAGGCACATCATTAGCAGCTACGTGGGGTGTGTTGTTAAAGTAAGTACAGATTAGAGCATCTAACATCTTGCATTTTTGATCTGTGAAATCCTTTCTTTTTGTGAAAATTTACCCCAGTTGCCCTCCCAGGACCAATTCTGTCTTGTGTATATTTACCCTGGATTTAGCTGGGAGAATAAGCTCTGGTTCTGGAGCCGAGGGCCTCAAGGCTGTTCAGGAGAGTCCTATGGAAAAAGAGTTGTCGGATGGAAAGGCCCACAAACAGCTGAACTGAATGGGGCACTCCCTTTTCTCTTGCGGGCTTGGCTTTCTTTTAGTGTGTGTATGAGCGAGGAAGTTGCATATATATATATATATTCATTTATTCATTTATTCATTTATTTCCTCAACAAATACTTATTATGCATCTATTATTATATTATGCCCTGGGCCCTGGCTGGTACTGATTGGAGGCAATTAGGGCATGACCTCTGTTTTTCAGGAGTCCCCAGTCCAGTGGGAGAGGCCAGCATGAGAATCAGCCATTTCCTGTGGCTGCTGTACGTGCTTCAGTGGAGGGATGCCCTGGGTAGGGGCTTTAGGGAAGATGCCAAGAGAAGATGAGGCATCACTTGAGTCTAGATGGATGTAAGATTCTCTAGGAGCTCACATCTAGGAGAAATTGTTGAAGAAAGTGGGGCTCTGGTGCCTAAAAAAATAAGATTTAGTGGAGGACATGAACAGTGAAGGGCTGTGTGGGGAAGAAGGGTTAGAATTCTTCTGTGCAACTCCAGGAGATAGAAACAGAATCAATGGATGCACATGACATAAAGAGAATTTCTGACTTTAAATAGTTTCACAAAAATTCTTAGTTGAAGAAATTGAGACAAAGAGCGAACATAGGCAGTAAAATAACAAAGACAGAAATGTTAATAGATTAGCACCCAAAAATGCACACTATATGATCATATGAGGTTGCTGAAGATGGGCCACAGATTTTGTTCTGAGCTTCCTATTGGCCAAGTCAAAGAGGGAAACAGGAGCAGTTATAGGATTTATGGTGTCCAGTTGCTCACGCTTTCCTGGTCCTGAAGTCTGAGAATGTTTCCCTATGGATTATTGTAAAAAGAGGCCACTGGGTGAGGCAGTGGTCATTGTCTTGAACACCACTCCTACAAAATACGCAGTGGTAAGTTTTATGTGGTTGAGTCTGAGAGTGCTCTGCAGTCCTCAGCAGAAGCAGCGGCCGCCGTGCCAAATAGCATGTAAGTTGCAGTCTCTGCGAGGCTCTTCACTATAATCTAGCAGCAGTCCCTGTGGCTGAGGGAGGCAGGGGCTACTTCAGGTCACATTTTGGATGGAAGGAGTAGCATGCCAGAGTGGAGTGTCTGAGCCTCCATGGGAGCAGAGTGTGTCCCCTTCACAGAACACACACAATCCTGGAGCATCCTCAGCCAAGCCATGGCTCCAAGGACTCACTGCCGTCACCCATCCCGTGCACATACCCAAATCTCTCCCGAGCCTGAGCCCTGCACATGGCCAGCTCCTGACTGGGCGTCTCTACCTGGGAACCCTTTTGGCATTGCAAACCGGGTGAGGCCAAACTGAATTCATTCTCTTTCCTCCCGACCCATTCTTCTTCTTTCTTTCTATATTTCCTATTGTGGTTTGTAACACCATCATTCATCCATGCTGTTGCTCAAGCTAGAAAGCTTAGAGCTGTCCTGGGATGCCCTCTCTGTCCCCTTGGTTACCCACTAGTGTCACCGAATACTGAGGACTCAGCTTTATGATTATCTTCTCTGCCCTCTGCCATTGGCCTGGTCTAGGACTTCATGCTTTTTTTTTTTTTTTTCCAGTTGTGGTATTGTAATAGACTCTTACCTGTTTTATATTTTGTCTATTTGTAGAATTAATACATGCTCATTATATATATACAATCTGAAAAATGCAGATATAAATAAAGAACCTCATTACTTATGGTTTTGTTGGAGTAGTATTTGGAGTATTTCCTTCCAATCTTTTCTGATGGAGATATTTGTTCTGCAGATATTTATTTGGAGTGTCTACAATTGGGATCATATTATGTGAATGGTTTTATATCCCTTTTCACCTGTCATGATAATTTTCTTATAGCATTAAAAATTCTTCAAAAACATGCTTTTGAAGAGTGGCAGAGTTGGTTTGCTTATTCTATGATTGTTGGACATTTAGGTTGCTTTCAGGTTTCTTTTTTTTTCTATTAACAAACAGTGCTCTGATGACCGTCTTTACACATGAAGCTATGTCCGAATCTGTGAGTATGCTCTTAGTGTAGATTCCCAAAATAGACTCATTGGCTCCTCAGGTGTGATGTTATTT